GGCCCGGCGCCGGCGCCCCTCGGCGGGCCCCCCTTCGTCTCGCCTCGCCTCGCCTCGCCTCGCCCGCACCTCCCCCTTGCCCGCCCGCCCCCCCGCCCCCCCCCCGGGGCCCCCGGCCGAGCCCCGCGCGCGCACACGCACACACTCGCACAGGGGCCGATCGGCCTCCGAGCCGGGGGCGCCCCGCGATCTGCCTCCCCCGGCCGGGGGAGGGGGGGCGGGACAAACGCGCAAGCATGCACCCCCATCCGGGCGCCGGCCACCGCTGGCAGGGCCGAGACATGGCTCGGAGACCATTGGGAACTGCCGCTGGGTCTCGGGTCCTGGCCCGGGCGCCGGCCGGTTTCTCCGCCGCCCCGAAGGTGGGAGCCGGGTGAAATCCAGCCCAACCCCTCTGCCGGGGGGTCGGGCCGGGAGCGCTGCCTGGCAGGGCACACCAGCGCTGGCCATTCTGAAACAGAGGAATCCGCTGTCCCCCCGCCCCGCCCGAGGGCCTGGCGGGGATTCGCCCACACCCGGAGGCAGCCCCCCCCCCCAGCAACGTGCCTCCCCTCCGGCAAGGGACGGCGGAGTTGCCGCGAGTGCCCGGGCTTGCGGGCGCCAGCCCAAGCGGTCGCCGGCCCCCCCCCCCCTCCGCCCAACAGCTCGCCCGGCGCGGGCGCGAGGGCGGCCGCCGGCCGGGGGCCCTAAACCAGGATCGCCGGAATCCCTGCCAGCGTCACAACTGGCAGTTCGGCCCGAGCGTGAAAATGGCCCCGAGTTCTCGCCACATGGTTCGCTAAAATGTGCGTGCGTGCGGCGGCTTCGCTCGTGCAAGCGCGCGCCCCCGGCTCCCCCCCGGCACCGAAGCCAACACCCACGCCCGCGGCCCCGCACCTCCTTGGGGCCTTCTGCTGGGGACCCCCGGAGGGCCGGGGGGCCCAGCAGGGGGGGGGGGGGGTTCCTGCACCAGGGCCGTCTCGCTCGGAGCCGGGAAGTCCCCCGGCCCGCGGCGCCCCGCACCCACGACCCGTGAGAGCGCCAGGGATGCCCCAACGCCCGAGCACCCGGCAGGGAATGGGTGGGAACGCAGGACGCCGGTCCAAGCCGCGGAGGGGGGGCGGCGCAACCACGCACTCAGGGCCTGCGTGCGCGCGGGACACCGGGCACACTCCCTCCCGGGCGCGCCTTTTCTTATGTAATCCCCGAGGCCATCCCCCGAGAGAAATCCAAATTTGGTCCCGCCCGCCCCCCTGCGAGGAAATGTCGCGGGGTGTTGAAAAATAGCGGCACAGCGCACGGGGGCCCGGAGAATGTGCCCCGGCCCGCCCGCCGCGTGCCCGCACCCGCGCCCCCGTCGCCACCCACTGCCCACACCCTGCGGGGCTGGCTCACCCCCAATCGGGCCACACACCGCGCCCCGGGGCCGGCAGGGCAGCCGGCTCACGACGCACCGGCAGGCAGGCCCGGTGCCCTCGGACGCGCCAGGGCCGGCCGCCGCCCCAACCCCCCTCGCCCTTGCCGCCCTTGCTGCCCTTGCCGCCCGCCCCCAAACTCCATCCGGCCCCATGAGAGCCGACCAGGCGCCGGGCGGGGCCCCCCCCCCCGACGCCCCCCGGGCCCGCGTCGTGCGTGGGACCCGCGCGTCGCCGGCTGTCCAGGGAATGCCTCAGCTTTTTGTCCCCGGCCCCTCGCGCATCTCGTCCGGCCTCCAGGCCTGGTCTCCCGGAGTCGCGGGGGCTCGCACCGGCGCGCACACGCCCCTCGCCCCCCCCCCCCCCGGAGGCCTCCATCGGGGGCAGGTGCGTCCGAAAGGGGAGCACACGCCCGCCGATCGGCCCGAGTCATCTCCCCCCGCACCCCGCGATACGGGGTGCAGGCAGGGCCTCCTGACCGGATGAGGAACCAGCCCGCGCCATATGCACCGCCGCGGAGGAGGGCGGCCGCGACCGGCTCCCTCCTTTGCGCGGTCTCATTCCCCCGCACGCGCGCACGCGCACACCCACACAAATGTGTCTCCACCAAGCAATGCCCCCCCCCCGTCTGGACCCCGGCCAGGCCTCCCCTCGAGCGGGGCAGGGGGCCGCCGACGTCGCCGGCGGTCGTGGCGCACCAGGGGGAGAAGGGAAAACAAAAAGGCGTGGACTATTTCGGGATTGAGATCATGTGGACTCCTGGCGTGACAAGAGCTCGCAGATGCGCGTGACCCACTCGGCCAGGCCCCCTTCGGCCGGCGCCTCGGCCACGATCGCGCCATCCGGCTGAAGAAGCAGCCCGGCACGGTATAGCAGTCGGCCGGCCAGGGCGCCGTCCCCCGGCGGGTCGCCGCCCGTGCCATACGCCCCGAGGGGGTGCATGGCTCTGGCGCCCAGCCGGGCGGCAACCTCCGCAGCCGCGCCCGCCAACCGGGCAAAGGTGTTCCGGCGCTCGGAGACCGGAATCTGGCCAGGAGGAAGAGGACACGCGGCAGCCGGCGGCCCCGGCGGCCGGGGGAGGGGGGGAGGCGGTCAATAGAGATGCGGGTCAGCCAGGCCCTGGGGGGCGCACATGCGAGGCGGTGGCCAGGGCAGGGGTGTAAACGCACAGTCGCGCCGCCATGCGTCTCCGACAGCGGGAGCGTCTCATCGCCCAGCAGGAACAGGCAGGCGTCCAGTCGCAGGAACAGGCCCTCCACCGGGGACACATCCGCCGTGGGCACCAAACCACCGGACTCCGGCGGGCCGAAGACACTCTCCAGAGCCGCCGGCGCCGAGGTGCCGGTCCGAAGAGGACCATCCAGCCGGCTGAAGCTGCGCAGCCCGATCGCCATGTCCAGGGGGGGGGGGCATTTACCGCGCGCGCATGCCCGGGGGGGCGTGGCCCAACACCGGCGGGCGCACAGCAGGCCGCAAGGGGGGTCAGCACAGGGACACAGACACGGGCGGACAGACAGGCAAAAAGAAAAGGGCCACACGGCCACGTACCGGCTCAGGAGCGGGCCGGCACATGGCCCGGCCGGGTGTGCGGGCGATGCGGCCGACAGGGCACCGGCGTGGAGGACCTCTTGGAGGAGGAGGCCCCGGGGCCCGGCCGCACTGGCGTCCAGGCTGCCAGCCGCCGGCAGGTTGACCCGGCCCAGGGCCACCGCCAAGCCCCACAGCCCGGCCTCGGCCAGGGCCCGGACCCCGGCCGCGCTGCCCTCGGCCCCGAGCACCAAGGTGGCCCCGAGAAGCGGGCCGAGGCCCGGGTCCGCGGCACATGCAGCCGCCCGGCGCCCGGCGCCCGCCGGCCGGCACAGCGCCGCCGCATAGCGCCGCGACAGGTCTCCCGGGGCAAAGTGCCCGGCCAGGGCCGCCAGCCCGGCCAGCAATGCGTGCCGGCAGCGGGCACAGGCGCACGTCGCCTCGACATCGACCAACGCACGCTCGAGGGCCCGCCGCCCATGGCCAAGCCATGCCTGCAGGCACACCCCGGCCAGGAGCCCCCTCCCGGCCGGCATGGCCAGGGCTGCGCCCGAGCAGCGAGGCAGGAGAGGGCGCCCGAGGCGGAGCCGCGAAGGGGGAAGAGGCAGCAAGTCAGTGATCCACGCCGGGGGGGGGGGGAGGAGGCGAGACACATGGGGAAGGGGGCGGGGCGAGGGCAAGTCGGGGTCCGGCCACGCACCGGAGGCTTGGAGCTGGGCCAGCAGGTCTCGCGTGGGGGAAGCGAGCAGCAACGGCAGGAGGCCACACTGGCGGCCGCACGCCGGGCCGGCCGGGTGCCGAAGCCCGAGAAGCCCGGCCCCGGGCGCCAGGCACTGGGCCATCGGCAGGAGCGGGCGCATGAAGGGGCACGCTTGGCCTGGCGCCGGCCCGGGGCCCTGGCCCAGCAGGTCCCAGAAGAGCCCGCGCCCGGGCGCCAGGCCCGGCTCCCCGCCGGCAGCCATGTCACTCCCCGTGGCCGGGCTGGCGGCCGGTGTCGCGTCGGGCGCCAGGCTGACAGCGGCTCGGCCGGGGGCCTCCCCGCGCGGGCGCTTGGCCGGACTCGGGCCCCCGGGTCCGGGCGAGGGGAATGCCTCTGCTGGGGCTGGGACCGCCGGCGCCGCTGGGGCCGCCACGGCCGCCGCCACGGGCACCGGGCCGTCCCCCGGTGGCGAGACGGCCGGCGGCCCGGACAGCAGCTTCGGATCCAGGTCATCGGCCAGCAGCGTCGACCGGAGGGTCTGGTCGCTGCCGGTCGACAGAATGACCAGCCCCCGGGAGCCAGGTAGCAGCATGGCCGCCGCCCCATGCACCTGGCCCAAATGCACCGGCAGGTACCGGGCCGCGAGGACCGGCCGCCGGCGGCCCCGCTCGGGCCCGAGCACCACGTGCCACAACTGCAGCGAGCCATTTTGCGCGAGCGACAACAGACGAGCCACCGTGGCCTCGGGCCCGGGGACACCCGGTGCCCCGGCCAGGGATCCCAAGTACCCAGGATGGCGAACGGCTTCCGGCGGCCCGGCAGCCCAGCAGACCGCCACACCGGCATCCGAGTGCTGCTGCGACTCGAAGCCTCCGAAGGACAGCTCGGCCGCCGGGCAGTCCGGCCCCCCGGCGGCCGGGCCCGAGACCGCCTCGGCGACGTGCAGCCGCCCGCGTTCCGTGGCCGCGGCCAGCAGGAGGCCCCCATCTGCGACCGGGCGGGTGGGATGGAAAGGGGAACGGGAAAAAACCGGTGAGAAGGGGCACGCATGTACACTCACACACAACGGACGTCGGGCAGGGAGCCGCCAAGGCAAAAAGGAAAAAAAAAAAAAAGAAGCGGCAGCAATGCCGAGACGCCCTGGCGGGGACCCCGGCACAGGGCCAGTCTCACGTACCGTGCTCCAGCAGGTCGACCGATGTGATGGACTCCTGCCCGGGGACCGAACCGTGGCCGGTCAGCACCAGGCACGCCTCGGCCGGCGGATGGGCCGCAGTCCCGGTCGCCCCGGCGGCCAACAGCCGATGTTCCAATGCCCCGCTCAGGACATACAGGCACACATGCCCGCTGGAGAAGCCCACCGCCAGGACCCGGCCGCAGGGGGACCCGGCCAGTGCGGTGGGCCGTGCATCGGCCGGCAGGCCGGCCTGCCCGCCATGCACGGCCCCCGTCAGATCGGCCGGGCCCGGGCCCGGCCCCGGGCCCGACATAAATGGCCCGCCGCTGGCCCAGGCGTCCGACGATGGGGCCCCGGGCCCGGACTCGGCTGCATCTCCCGGGGGGCCTCGCTTCCGGCGCTTCTTGGCCGGTCGAGCGTCGGCCGGCTCCGGCCCGGCGGGGCGCTCGGCACCCGAGGGTGGCCCGGCCAGGCGGTGCAGCAGCAGCGCCTGGCCATCGGCCGCCAGCGAGGCCAGCGACCACCGGCCAGGAGCCGCGCCGCCGGCCGCGCCACCGCCAGGCGCCTCATCCGGCTCGGTCACCCGCAGCCAGACCACCGCCTGCACGGAGGCCTGGTGGAACCCCGGCGAGGGGACCACCGCCGGGCTGGCCGACCCGGCCGACAGCAAGCCCACCCCGCCGTCGACCAGGCCGTATGCCAGCCGCCCGGCCAGGTGGGGGTCGGCGCTGGCCGGCGCATGCCGGCAGGCGGTCACCTGGGTGTTGAGACGCCGCCAGACCGAGCGCCAGCCATCGTACGCCCCGACGCCGGGGGTCGGACCGGAGCTCGGCAGCAGGCGTCGCTGCCCCACCGTGCACGGATCAAACAGCCGCACCGTGCCATCGCCCACGGCCAGGGCCACCTGCCTCGGGGCCGGTCCGGTCTCCGGTGCCACGCTCAGGGCCCAGCCGAAGGCCCCGAGGGTCGGCATGCGAGTCACCGGCTGCAAGTCGGCCAGCGACCAAATGATCACCTTTGACCCCGGGAGGGTGCCGCGTTCGGATGGGGGTGGGGAGAACCGAAGAGAGAGAGAGAGAGAGAGAGAGAGAGAAAGAGGGGTAGGGAGGGAGGGAGGAGCACGCGCGCACAGACACACGCACACGCACGCACGCACGCACCCACGCACCCACGCACGCACGCACGCACGCACGCACGCACACACGCACGCACACACACACAAACACACACACACACACACACACACACACATGTCAGTTCACCAGGCCGATACTCCCACTCATGACATCGCAGAAAGCACGCGGCCGAGGAGAAGGCCCCAGGTACACACCTGCCGATCCATGGAGATGGAGGCCCCCACGCCGGGCGAAGGAAACCCCCCGAAGTCCAGGCCAAAGATGGTGCGATTATGGCCGCCGGTGGTCAGGCGTCGGATGAGACGAGCCCCGAGCGGGGCCGGGGCGTCCGGCGATCCCGCCGATGCCGGCCGGAAGGAGCACGGCGCATGCTGCAGCACCGGCGCCGCAAGCAAGTCGGCCGGCCAACGCCGGCGCCAGGCCGCACACTCGCCGGCCGTCGTGTACCGCGGCATGTCGAAGAGCGCCTCGTCGGCGGCCGCCTCGCCGCCGGCCGGGCCCGGCAGCCGGACCAGCGGCATGCCCAAGTCCCACACCGACAGCTCGCCACTGGCCGAGCCGCACAGGAGAATCGGCGCCAGCCGGTCCCCGGCACATGGGGCCGCCCCGGTCGACAGGGCACAGACACACTGGTAAGCCCGGCCCGGGGCCCCTGGCCGGGCGGACCACGTCAGCGTCGCGCGCAGACGGCTTGCCTGCCGACCGTCATCCGGGGCCGAGTCGCCGGCGGATGGGCCCCCGGCTGCCCCCGGGCCGCGGCCGCCCCCGGGTCCGGTCGAGTCGCGCGGGTAATTGAAGCGCACCAGGCAGCTGGTAGCAAGGGCCAGCAGGTGCGAATCACCCGCCGGCAGTGGCGCCCGGATGCCGGACAGCAGGCCCGGCTGCACGGCCCACACGCGCACCGTTTGGTCGCGCGAGCCACTGGCCAGGAAGAGCGTCTCCACCAGCGGCACGCCGAGGCTCGCGTGCACCGGTGCCAGCCCGGCACATGAGGCCAACTGTAGCGGCCCGACCGATGCCGCCGTCCCTGCCGGGCCGCCGACCCCTGGCGTGGTCGGGCACGAGTCCACGCCGGGGCCGAGCGACGCCCCGGCGGTCGGAACTGCCCGGCGTTCCGGGCTGGCACCCGGGCCCGGGGCGAATGGCGACACCGGAAACGGCGAAAAGCGCACCGTTTGCACGGCGTCCGAATGGTCGCGCAGTCGCGCGGAAATGGCCACCGCAAAGGGGGCACTCCCATCCAGCAGGGCCCCCGGCAGGACGGTGCAAAGGGAGATCTGGCCATTTTGGTGGCTGCCATTTGGCGTCCCCGCCGCCCGCCACACAGGCGCGCGCGCGCGCGCGCGTGCACACACACGGGCGTAAGGAGTGCCACACCGAGAAGCACACACACAGAAACACGCACAGAAACACACACACAGAAACACGCACAGAAATACA